CTGGGGAATTCTGGGAGTTGAAGTCCACACATCATAAAGTTGCCAAGGTTGAGCAACAGTACACTAGATCCTGGGTCTCCCCACATCTAGTCCAACATCTTCACCATTACCCCATAGCGGCTCTTGGGCTGAGAGGGAGGGACTGCCCAGAGTCCCCCCAGAGAGCTTCTGAGGCTGAAGGGGGGCCAGAATCTCAGAATCTGGGTCTCCTGGCTTATAGCCCAGCCCCTTCCCCACGAGACCAGACTGGGAGCTGATGGGCCTGGGGGGACTTGAGCCTGCTCTTTCTGGACCAAGTCCAACTTCTTCATCGCTACATCACTCTGGCTGCCAAAAAGGGGGTACGACCCACAGGTCTGCAGAACAAATGGATCATATTGGCAGATGTCTGCTTGGGACTCCATCCGAAATTCGAACAGGAAGAACGCTTCCTTGCGCATTCATTTTACGCAACAGGCCTTCTCATAAAAAGGCCATTCGTGCTTCTGAAGAGAAGGTGCCTGTTCTACACAGGAGCGTCCCTCTGTCATCCATCCATCCATCCATCCATCCATCCATCCATCCATCCATCCATCCATCCATCCATCCATCCATCCATCCATCCATCCATCCATCCATCCATCCATCCATCCATCCATCCATCCATCCATCCATCCATCCATCCATCCATCCATCCATCCATCCATCCATCCATCCATCCATCCATCCATCCATCCGCTCATCCCTTCTTCCATTCTGCTGTTTCTCTTCTCCAATCTGTCTTGATTAATCTGGGAACTCCTTCGGAGTCAACCCAAATATTTCCCTTTCCCCCAGCCTTCCCCAACTTGGCTGGTGGGACAGCCACAGCCGAGTTTCAAAGAACCAACTCAGGTTCTCCATCCTTGATCTGCCCCACAGCAGATGTGGCAGGAAGGAGAGGCTGGCTGACCTCTTCCAGAATCTTCCTTTCCACTGAAAAATAACTGATATTAGGAAGAGCAACCTCTGAATAATGTCCTATTCAAAACATCATCTCGATTACAGTAATTACCAGCTATAAATAAATGCACAGGTGAAGCCCATTTTCACGACAAGCGGAAAGACACCTCTTTTCAGTAAAAAAGGGGACCTTGAACCTAGGAGGGTCCAACCTGTGGCCTCTGGGCTGGGTGGGGATCATGGGAGTTGAAGCCCAAGGCATTGATGGACATCAGGCTGGGGAAAACAGGTTCTCGGGTTTTCACCCCCTTCCTAAATCCTACACTCCTGATGCTGAAGACGGTGTAGAAGTTCTCCAAACCTGGAAAGAGTTGAACAGCATTTCATAGTGCATCTGAATCTGCCAGAGGATTCCTGAAACTTCCGTGTAAGGCATGGCCATAAAAACGATGTAATGTACTCCAAATAACGGCATGAGGACCAGGGTGGATTTCAACAGCTTCCTGTAGAAAGAGATAGAAAGATGATAGGTAGAAAATTATGGCCCCCAAGTTGCCCTAAAATGAGAGATCTTTCAGGCTTTTCGATATCCCACAGTCAGTTGGACTAAGTGATGCCCAAAGAGTTTGGGCACTGAGCTGCAGAGCAGGAAAGGAATCCGGGGGATTCTGGTTAATCGGGAGCGTGACTCAAAACGCTCCCGCTGATGCTTGCCATCATGCGCCAGGAAACTGACAGATGTTTTGGTTTCTTCGTGACAATTAGCAATATCTACATAATTGTTTTCTAATGTACAGTAGTTTGGTCAAACATATGCTTTGCATCTCTAAATCTCCATTCATCCATCCATCCTCTATCCTCTATCTATCATCTATCCTCTCTCTCTCTCTCTCTCTAATATATATATATCATCTTTCTATCTTCTATCTCTCTATCGCTCTATTATCTCTCTCTCTCTCTCTATCTAATACACACACACACACACACACGCACACACCAATGTGTTAGAAATACACTTGAGTGGCAAGGAGGGCGAAAGATGTCCCTCCAGGGTATTTTCAACCGAAGCCCCCAATGAGAAGGGTTGCCATTTTTTCTTTCTAATCATAACATTCTGGGAGGAAAAAATGCTCCCTGATTGGAATGGTCCTCCAGAAACCCTAACCCAGGGGAGTCTGCAGGGAGGGGGAGTCAAAAAAGTCAAGATGGCAGCCACCGCTGCACAATCAATTGTATGGGTGTGACTGCCATTGTGACTTTTTTGACCCCTCCCCTGGAGACGCCCCCCACAAGTCTTCCCAGTGTCTGGGGCCCCATATTTCTTTTCTTCTTCCTCCCTTCTCCACTGTTTTTCTTTCTGTCTCATGAAGTTACAATCTTCAGGATCCAAGCAGACCGGTCTGGCTCTCCTGTCAGACAGACGGGCGGTGTCGTCCCGTCGTTTCCTTCCTGGGGAGACCCCTTCTGCCCTGCATTCTCTAAATCAGTCTGATGACTGCAGGGGGTCCCACCAGCACCATTGCGTCAGGATTCAGCGGCCGGCTTGATGGGGTTAGCCGTTGGCGGTGGGGGAGAGGCCCTCTTGTCCCTGAGCACTTCTGATCGGGTCCCTCTGAAGCCTCCACCCCGTGGCAAGGATCCCACCGGAGCGGGTCTCCTGACTCGGAGAAATGACCTGCTCCATCGTGGCGCATCCAATTCAGGCAGCAACGTGGGCCCTGATTTGGTGACCGGCTTCCAAGGGGGACAGGAGCCCTGGCGCGTCTGCTCAGGTCGAGCCCTCAAAAGGAAATGCGGCTTTCAGAGGCACTGCTTCAAAAAGGACTCCAGTTTCGATGAACCGAAGCCTCCTTCCCAAAACGCTGCGCAGCCTACTGGACTTCATGACAAATGCCGAGGGAGACTCTCTCTGCGGTTTGCGAGACCGATCAGTCTGGCCTGGCACTGAGGGTCTGGGTGAGGTTGCAGAAGGAAGAGGCGATGCCCATGAAGGAGACAACACCCGAGATTCTTCTGGCTGGGGGGGACAGACTTTGATCCTGTTCTCAGTGTTGGGAGGGCTAAAGGAGGGCCATCCATTCCAATAAATTGTTTTCTGTGTCTGCCACTTGAAAAGGGAAGGAAGGAAAGAAGGAAGGAAGGAAGGAAGGAAGGAAGGAAGGAAAGAAGGGGGGAAGGAGA